CAGCTTCTGAAGTTTTAAAGTTTCTTTTTTTATTTTCATTTTAGCACTCGAGTGTTTTTTCAAAGCCCACATCCGAATATTTAACTTAATACATTTATCCGAGCGCATGATCGTAGCCTCAAATACACTGAAAACTAAATTTGTATGACGGCTTCAGTTCAATGTGTACGAGAAAGATAGAGGTATGTATGGACACATATGTTAGAAAGAGATAGAAGCCGGATGCTTGTTGATAATATGCGTTTAGTTGATTCTCGCCCAAATAATGGTTTTATTTTCAGCGTACACATTTTTGAATTGTGAATTGTGGCGAATCTGCTTAGGATGGATAACGGATCGGCCCTACCGGCGCTTCATTTCTGGGGTCACAAATTCTGCAACATGGCGCCATTGGTTCGATTGGCAACATCGCATTACAAGGCAAGGTTTCCACCTCCATGATCATAGATGAGCGATTTTGGTCAGTGCCCATCTAGCGCTTATTAGGGAGTGTCTTCCTGATTCGAAATGGTAAAAGTAACTGATGTGCTGATTTTATCACCATCGGTGGAAATCAAAGTTAATTCTTTGAGAAATTAAAGCACTAAGTCGCATTAGAATTGAAATAAATAATTCTAATCAAAATGAAAACAAAATATTAGATTAAATGTTCGACAGACCTCCTTCTTGGGTTTGACAGTAACCAAACCTATTGTAGAAGCCTGTGCGAACATTTTCTGGTGTAACATATTGGCAACGCGGCAGATTGCACGACCTTCTGCTTCACCATTGCTAGGCAATGTGGTGATCACCTTCGCTCTTCAGCCGGCTGCTACCTCTTTTTAACATGTGTTGATACACACTTCTCCCTTGTACACATTGAACTCAAGCCGTTAGACAAATTTGGTTTTCCCTGTATAATAAAAACAAGGCTCAAAGCATATATCGCCGGAATCATTTACGGTTAGGTTGTCCGAGTTTCAATGGGTACGAGAGAGAAGCGTACAGCACGTATGTTAGAAAGAGTGCTCCGTGATCTTTCTAGCTGTCGTTGCACGCTTCTCTCTCCTGTAAACATTGGAATACGGCCTACCTCAACCGTAAATGATTCGCACGGTATAAAAATAAAATGGCGCCTTGTTCTACTGCGCTCACATTAAAAACAAAAGTTGAAGTGTCGTTGTAATTGTGTATTAATTAGTTTCAACTTTTGTTTTTATTGTGAGCGTTGTGGGGCAACGCCATATAAAACATACAGGGTGACTTTGAAGTTGAGTCATTAATTTTCAGATAATGATTGTAGAAGGAAGATAAACCAAAATATGTGTGTAAAAATAAAAAAAAATTAAAAAAAAATTTTACCTTGTTTTATAAAGTATCCTCCCGACAAGTATTTCAGTGCGGACCTGTATTTGATCGTGAGGTCCCCTGTGAGGTCTTAAGTCACCTGATTCACGAGCCCGTTGCACTACATTAACAAAGGCACGAGGGGTTGGTTGCACTCGATTGGGAAACCGATCCGCATAAACATGTGCCATTTTTTATTTCGTTTCACAGACACTATTCACACGCGACTGAAACTGACTGTATGTATAACTGAACTGAATTGTAATCGTAAAAACATCGTTCCAAATTCTTTCGCTTTTTTGTTTCCGATGCGATGAACCGTTGTTGCCAAACACGAACACATGATATTATTGAGACAGGGCGGTACTCAAACTTCCAAAGGGCTATAACTTTGTTACTTTAATTTTACCAGAAAAATGGTAAAGGAAAAAAACATTTCTTTTGATCAGATCTACACATTGTTAAAATAAATGACTCAACTTCGAAGTCACCCTGTATATGGCGTTTTGTTATAGATTTGAAATAGCGTTGTAACCATTCAAATAGGAGTAATATAAAATTGATGAATTTTGGAAAAATAATTGCGAAATTTGAACCCTTAAACAATAATCATGAACCAAAAGTTTAAAATCCACATGCACAATTAAATGCAAACATTTCATAGCAGCGATTAACTCGCAATATGAGTTATTTTCGTTGCCGAAAATGCCGCTTATAGATTCTGATCCTTTTCTTAACTGTCTTACTGCAGTTCTACGTCTTATATGAATTTAAAGATAAACAAAATTTCTACAGATTGAGTCAACGACACCTAACTAATAAACTTATAACAAGTACAAGGATGCAAATGAATCAGCGAATTGAGATCAAGAGACTGACAAGCTTGATGTATTTTTAGCAGGCGTCTCTATTCAGACAATTTCTAATTATTATTAAATAAGGGAGATCACAGACGCCAGAATAGTGAAATATTCATCGGATACAGAAATTACGAAAATGATATCTGGTATTAGATCATACAAGCGTGGGTAGGACTTAATAGAACTAGATGAAACCAGTTGCGTTGCAAGTAATTTTGCTGATCAAACTATTTTTTCATTAGTTGTTCCTGATTCATATGTTCTGACAACAATATTATTGTGATTTATACCTAACCTCATTGAAGCATAATTTTCTTAATCTCAAAGTTATTCAATATTCCTGATATGTCTTGTAACCTATTATGTCGAAAATACAACGAGTAGGATGAAGTATTCCAACCCGTGGCTATACCTATAATAAACACAGTTATAATCATAAATAGTCAAATACAAAAATGCTCTTTATTATACCCTAGTACAATACTTTCCGATCAAATAATGAAAATGACATAGATCCGAAAATTTTACTGAATACGATGGTTTCAAATATGACATCTTTGTTTTTCAACTTTCAAATACTCTACATGTGCCTGCAACTTACTTAACGGGGCTCCTACAATCACGAGTACCATCTGCTGAGGTAACGGGGGGGGGTGAAAAGGAAACGATGATGGGCAGGTCTTAGACGGTTGTCGGCGCTACTTTAAAAGAGGAAGGGATGACTGCGGGTGCGTACCGAGGTAAATTTTTATAATAACAGAGTCGGATTTCGATTAGCGATCTAGCCTGTACATCCTTTCCTATTTTGGTACTCAGCAAGTGATCATTTAGTATTGTTCTACCCTGGTTACTGTTCGTCGATATTGTGTTGTTTGTTGTGCTGTACTCTTGTTGGTGTGATTGTCCTTGAGTGCACAAGAAGTGTGTTCATATAAAATGTATACCTCAGCATAGTATATACATGGATGTGTGCTCTCTTACAGTAAAGCATAGTATAGTGATAATAGGCTCTTTTTATCTAAATACTGCTTCATCTGAAATATGGCATAATAGCCTTTATTTAAATTCAGGCATACATTCTGAGTTTGGGTACTGAAGGAGAAATCTGCATCGAATCAGCTAGAAAGAAGTTTCACGCTATCCACTTACTGTAAACCAAGGTCTACATTTAATGTTATCTTAGTAGTTGGATGTATATGGGTTTTCTAATATGAAAGTTGATTGATTTGTTTTTATTTAGGATCAACTTGTTTATTTGACACATAACTTCTATCTTTTCAAATACAACTAGGACGTTTTCATGCAGTGCATCCACAGAACTTCCAGATATAGTGATCGTGGTATCATCAGCAAACATTGTAACTTTTTCCCCTTGAAATGAAATCTGACAAGTCATTTACAAAAAGCAGAAATATTAGAGGACCTAATACGAACTCCTGGGGGAACGCCCAGATTTACAGGGAATTTATCTGATAACACATTATCAATCTTCACATTTATATTTCTATCAGAAAGGAACCATTTGTTTGTAGTGATTTTTAGAAGCCTGGGTCATGATAATTTTCACTTTTATTATTTGATTTGGAACTGGGAAACCAGGAGAATAGAAACTAAAAATCTGAGGACTCTAACGGCCCAGGTATACCCACAAATATTTTACTATTCAGACTATTATTTTCTGCATCTTGTTTATTTTCTACAACGCTAGTCAAAAACGAAATGTTGCATGTCGCATTATATAGAATTCAGTCTCTATTAAAGTATTTCCGGTTGCATTTAAATCATGTCACAATGTGTAGGTTGTATAATATATCATGCAAATCTAATGTAAGGTCAGTTTTCATACTGTTGGGTATTTAACATTAAAACATAAAATGTATATCGTTAAGTCTGTTTGGATTTGCTTGTAGCGCCAAGGACCTTACAGTTTGCATGCGATCCTAAAATATCTCAATACGGTGAGGTAATATGGTTTTAAAATAAATCTCCGTATCAATAATAGTTACAATCTAGGCCAGTTCATTCAATTGCCGTGTCCATTAAGCAATTCATTCTCAAACCGCTGTTAAAATATATTATAACATTAAATGAGCAGCATCTTAAGTAATACCATAAGGCAACACCATCCTAGACAAAAAATGATCACAGAGAATTGATAAAACATCAAGAAATCAGTCATCAACCAATGATAAGTGGGAAATACCAAGGAACTTCTTTTACTTCCCCTTCCCCAAGGAAGTACCTTGATCTCTATCTCGATGTATAAAAGTGAATGTCTGTCCAGCCTGCCAGCATCACATCAGAGTCACAATATGGGGAGACGTGAAAATGTGTAAACGTATCAACTGATACTCAAGGAAGGTTATAGGCATGTTTTTATCTTTGACTCATTTTGTAGTCAACTGTCGCTAAATGTACCAAAATTTCCACCGTCAGAGTCAAACCGAAACAGCGCGGCCTGCAGTCACCCAACTCATATGTGACCGTCAGGCGATACAGAAGACTTATTTTGCACTAGCTGTTACCCGCGGCTTCGTACACTTGAAACTGTTATTGCCACAACATATTGTTTCTAAGTAATGCTATTAACTTCCGATCACGTTTTGTATCTTTGATGGCTTTAGTAAGCTGAGAGGCAAGTTGCATTCTTGGAGATTTGGTTGCTTTATTAATGGCGCGACCTATACGATAAAATTATGCGGCAAAAAGCTATTGCATGATAAATAATAGTTTGGCGAAGTAACAGAAAAGCAAATAAGATTTGTGGTTCAAGCCGTTCTATCAATATGGGACAAAAATTCAAAAGGCTGATGCTTTGCACTATTTTAACCCTTTCGTAGGCGGTGGGAAGCATTTTTCCCACCGTTCAAAGTGTGTTCTAGGAGTAATCTAGCGAAATATTCTTCAAAGGCATCGGTGCTGCCATCTTTTGGAAACATGACAATACACTATTAAAGTGGAAATAGCCAAATACGCATGATATGCAACCCATTATTTTGCTCGTTTTATATGTAAGCACATGTTTTGACCATTTTTATCATGCAAATTTTGTGTTTTGAGAATTAATCCGAAAACATCGTTACAATCAGGTAAGGGATAAGACTTTTTTTTGGCTAAATCTGTTGTGATTAGTTGCAAGTGACATATGTTATTGCATATTATCTAATTTTTTTCATCTATATGGTTACAAAACAGAGATTTGTAGGTGGGAAATATACTTCCCACCGCCCAAAGATATAAAATAAATTTCTTATGGTGGGAAATATTCTTCCCACTAGACAATTCACAGATTTATTATCTAAGCGTTTTTTTAGTAATGTGGAATTTGGATAATCCTGAGCACCGACAACAGGCTCTTGACTTTTTCTACAGTCTCCCTGACAATGAAGAAAATTCCGATGAAGAACCGGACGATGGCGCAAATGAAGAAATGGATCTTCTAGACTTTACAACTTCTGATACAAGTTACACTAATTCTCCTCGAAATTCTTCAACAACTTCAGCTAGGAACGTTACTGTACCCTTGTCGCCAGAACCGGATATCGAATTTTTACACTCGGTAACACCAGAGTTGGTATCAATTCAGGAATCACTCAGTGACGATGAGGCCCGAGATAAAGATAATGAAAAGCGATCTTGGTTGCCAAGCTGTGACCATATACATGACAAAAATATAGACTTCTGTAAAACTCCTGAACCTGTTGTGCAAATTTCTGAACACGCTAAAGAAATTATTTACTTCAACCAAATACTAAACGAGGACATTCTGGAATTCATTGTCGACCAAACTAATTTGTATGCTTGTCAAGACCTTCCGAGGAAGAGTAACAAGAAGACGGGTCCAGGCCCTTCAAATAATTGGGAGAACACTTCCATAGAAGAGATCAAAGTTCTTATAGGAGTTATGATAATAATGGGAATACATCAACTTCCGCATTTGGGCAATTATTGGTCAAGTGATCCATTTTTTACAGTTTCGCCAGTGGCACAAGTCATGCCTTCCAAGAGGTATAAAAAACTAATAGAGAATATTCATGTAAATGACAACACCAAAGTTATACCAAAGCACGAATCAGGGTACGACAAATTACACAAGGTAGGGCCCCTGATTCAATGAGTCATTCCCCAAGGCATACAATCACTCTAGTTACCTGGCTGTGGACGAATCAATGATCGCCTTCAAAGGACGTTCCTCAATAAAGCAATATATGCCTATGAAGCCGGTCAAACGAGGATACAAGGTTTGGTGTTTAGCTGACTCTGCTACAGGGTATATATGTAAGTTTTATATATACACAAGCAAAACCTCCGATTCAGAAAAGCAGAATTATGGCTTAGGAGAAAGGGTAGTAATAAATCTTACTTCTTCTCTGAAAAATAAGAATTGTATGGTAGCATTTGACAATTCCTTTACTAGCGTAAATCTAATGGAAACTTTGCTAAAGGACGGAATATATGCTCTAGGTACAGTGCGATCAAATCGAAAGAACTTGCCAGATACATATAAGGATAAAACGAAACTTCAGCGTGGAGAATTTATGTTCGAAACAAAAGGAAAAATATCCGCTATCAAATGGATGGACAGTAAAAATGTGTATGTTCTTACAAATTACTTTTATCCTAAAGATACAACAACTGTATTACGAAGAAACAAGGCTGGCGAAAGACAGACTGTTCATTGCCCGAAAGTGGTAGCTGAATACAATCGAATAATGGGAGGTGTAGATACGAGTAAGTTCGACCAGCTTCACGAACGATATGCTGTTGGTCGTAGATCAACGAAATGGTGGCATGGCATTTTGTATTATCTGATAGATATGTCTATTGTCAATTCGTTTATATTAATGAAAATCAATCGAAAGCGAACTGTCGATCAGTTGTCATTTAGAATCAATTTGGCAAGGCAACTTATAAACGGTTACACATCTAGGAAACGCAGAAACAAACCCGTACAATTTCTTTCGAATAAGCGAGCTGTGCCTGACGAAGTTCGTTTAGCTGACGTTGGTAAACATCTTCCTATCCAACAAGCAACGTATAAACGGTGCAGACTTTGCAGCACCAAAGCCGCAGAAAAAAAAAGATACATGTGTTCATCATGCCAAGTTCCTTTATGCATCCAACCTTGTTTCAACAGATTCCACGGCAAATAGTAATTAAGCCATTGTTTATTTTATTTGCCTTGCATTTTTATTTTTGTATCTATATTTTAATATAAAAAAGTTCATATTTCACTTTTTGTTTCTTTTTCTTTTGATAAAATCTATGAAAGTACATAGGCGGTGGGAATGATACTTCCCACAATGAATAACTTCACGAAGATTGATAATGGAGAAAAAAATTAAATAAATTCAAAAAATTAATACGTTTTTAATCTTATTTCATTTATAATATCTTGAATATTGAAATTATCTTATTCGCGCCCACGAAAGGGTTAAAACTACATATTTTGTCCTTTCAATACACCACTGGAAATCAGCTTTTTTTTAATGAATTTTAAGCAACACAGTATAATTCAACGAAATTTAGATCCCCAGGGATGGCCCCTAATGAAATAATGCTAATCTTTTACACCCTCTATAATAATGGTTCAAAACTAATACTTTTGAAAAGCCTCAGTAATCTGTAAAAACGTATTCTTGTTTAAGACCGATGAAATGGACCGTTTTAGAAAAAAGTATTGTTTAAAAAAATGGATAAAAGCCTGAAACTAGGTACAACGGTCTAACCATTTACACTTCTTTATTTTCTTTTATCAAATTCAAACAATACGCTTTTTTCTCTTCCCGAAGTTGAAAAATCACCTCAAGCGAACTCATCTTGCGACAGTCGAGTTCCAGCACTGCTATGATGAGTGGAAGAACCGTCTGAAGTGCTGTGTGGCTTCAGAGGGAAGTTATCTTGATGGTGACAATATAAAATTGTAATTGAAGCGTGGTATTCCCAAAGGGTCTAAGTGCCAATATTTCTGAATTTCATATTTTTCCTCCAAAAGGATCTACATGCTTTAATGCATGCATTAGAAAAGGGTCCAAGTACATATCCGACGAAAATGTATTTAATCTCCCCATTTGATAGATGGCGTTCTCGTACTCGGTCGTGACTTGTTCATTGAGAAGGGTCTAAGCGCCGAGTACAGGCGTAATATTATTACGTGCATTTAATAATAAACAATGAGTGAAAATCAAGTAAACAACCCAAAGCGACGTGCCCCAGGGTCTGAAAATAAAAAGAATTAAATGAAACGACTGAAATATAGTGGCCTGGCATATCACAATCGAAGTAACAAGGATATTGCTGCTAAGAAGGCGCCAAGTTTTGAGGTTAGTTGTGTTTATTTCTATTGTTTTAGTCAACAAAAGTAAATAAGTTTGTTTTATTCCAGGTATTTTGTAAATGTAAATATGAGTGCAGAAAATTGCCCTATGAGCAAAAAATATTTTTATTTGAAGATTATTATAAAATAGCTAATCATGTGAAGCAAAAATCTTATCTGTTGGGACTCATACAAATTGGCAGTGTAAAAAGAAGACGTCACGGAAAATATGAATCTGCAGAACAAAGTCGTCGACAAGCTACTGCATGGTACACGGTTCCAAACGGAAATGGCCAGCATGTGCAGGTTTGCCGTCAAACATTTTCAAACATTTTTGCCCTATCACACAAGGCACTGCAAGTTTTAACAGAAAAAAAAAGTTGGGAGAAACAGTGTATACAGATAAAAGAGGCAAGTCAAATGAACCAAGAAAGGATACAACAGCGATAAGAGACCAGGTTAGAGAACACGTACAAAGTTTTCCTTGCGAAGAGAATCATTATAGCAGAAGCAAATCACAAAAGAAATTTCTGAGTCCAGATTTGAATATAAATCGCCTATACTTGGCATTTAAAAGACAGTTTCCCGATACAGAGGTTACTTATAAGTACTACTTGACAGTATTTAAAAAGGATTTTCCGCATTTACGATTCGGTCGCCCCAGAACGGACACTTGCTCAGTTTGCGATCTTTACAAAAATAAAATAAGTTATGCCCAAAATCAAACAGAAAAGGATGAGATGAAAGCCAAACTTGACCTACACCACAGAAAGGCGGAAAAGGCTAGACTAGAAATGGAAAAAGACGGTAATTTGTCACAAATCCCGACGGCCAGCATTAGCATGATGTCTATAGATTTAGAGCAAGTTTTATTTTTGCCAACACTTACACATACGCAGATGTTTTATAGCAGACAGCTTTCGTGCTATAATCTAGGAATACACATATCTGATACTGGAACTGCTCATATGTGTCTTTGGGACGAATCCATAACAGGTACAGGAGCTAATGAAATTGGATCTGCCCTTTTAAAGTGCCTTAACTTGCCAGCTTTGAATATGAAAAAAAACTTAGTGATTTGGTCGCATAGGACAGAACAAAAACAAAATGTTGCTTTTTTTGTTCATATATTTGGTCCATAATGGAAAGTTTGAAAAAATTGAACAGAAATTTTTAGTTTCCGGGCATTCCTATTTGGCATGTGATAGGGACTTTGCGCAGATTGAGCGTCGTAAAAGAGTCACAAAAAACTACGTACCGGATCATCTTGAAAAAATGATTAGGAGCTCACAACATAAAAATCCATTCAATGTCATTCGTATGAATAGAGAAGATTTTAAAAATCTTCAAGAGATTTCCGATAGCTTTTTAAACACGACCAAACTGAATATATCCAAAGCTTGGATAGAAGTTTCTAAGAAAAATCCAACTTTAGTCAGAACAAAAACAACGTTTAACGAAATGGAAGAATGGACCTCTTGTAACGTTTTAAAACGAAGCAAAACTTTGAGTGACCTTAAAACAACACCGTTGCCACAGATTGCAAAAACCGCATATCTCAGGAAAAGGCCAATTTAGAAGACATGTTAGATTACATACCACTTGCATATATCTCATTTTATACCGGTATCATAAAAAACCAAGCAAAACAATCCAGAGTAAACATTTTGAATGGAATTACTTTCACATAGACCCTTTTACAATGACACGATGCATTAGACATAGGACCTTCTAAAAATTTAATATTTTATTTTGTGTTCCAAAATATATTTCGTTTATTTTTGCTACCTTTTTTCGTAAAATGTTAAATAACCTGATGTTTTAATCGAATAAATTTACTTTCATATTTTTTTGTTTTATTTGACATCGCTACATCACAAGAATATCTTATTTCTTCATTTTCTCTGAAGTAAAATTTTCGCACTTAGACCCTTTGGGAATATAACGCTTCAATTATATTTGAATAAAAAAATTAAAAAACATCACCATCATCACTTAATTTATAGACCTCGTATATCATAAGTCTTGCTAGTTTCGTGGGAATAGCATATTCTCCAGTAGACCATGTAACATCCATACATATACAGTATGTCTCAATGAGTATTATCCAGCTGGGACAACATAGGGAGTATAGATGACAGGACCAGCGCGGGTATTACATATCTTGAAAAGTGACATTGTGTCGATTTTTTTTGACATTATATTGGTTTTTTATGACATTATGCAGGCTTTTCTAAAAGATGTTAACTAAGGGCCGTATCTTCAGTCGTTCCTACGATTGTAGGACGCGCCATTACGATTGTAGGACGCGCCATTATGGCCTCTTTGATTGTCATAGTCTTTTCTCTCCCTCAGAAAGGCTGGGATATTTCTAGATTTCACATAATCCGTGTCAGCGTCAGCGTTCTCCTATTGTTAAGTTGTTTTCTTTTTGATTTGTAGGGAATTTCAGGCTGGTGAAACAGACGATATAAATCAAAAGCACGAACAATTTAATGCAAATAGATATTTGTGATATAACCTCGAAATAGGGAGCTGACACCTAGCACTAGAAAACTATGAAAGTCAGGTATCAAAATCAAGGAGGCCATAAAGGCGTGCTACAATTGTACGAACGACTGACGATACTGCCCTTAGCACTAGCTGATGGACACGTTGTGAACTCGTATTGTAGTTTTACGTGTTTCCTAAACATCAAGAGGCTTCAGTTATCAATGTTTGGCTCTGATTTGATGTAAAATCTGCTTCAGAGTTGGCATTACTGGAGGTAACGGCAATGCATAGGTGCATAGTGAGGATTTGTGTGCTAATATGTCGTCACTTCAATGCAGAACTAGTCTATGTCAAAAAATGCACTTTTACAGGAGAGTTTTTTCTGATTTACATGCTTATGAAATCGAATATGTCGATCAAACTTATCCCACAGAGTTAAAAAAAACATCTTTTATTCTAAAGCGAGTGAAAATTTTGCTTATTTACAAAATACAGAAAATTTGATATACCTGACTTGAGATACCTGACGCTTTCATAACTATCCTAAGTTTCATAGTTGTAGTTAAGTTTGGCGATATCATCTGGAGATAGGTTAGTTCTGGAGTGAACAAGTTAAGCACGTTATTTATGGAAAATGATTTATTGGTAAAATAAAAAATATATAACTTCTCAGGGTATTGAACAAATATAAAATAACAAAAACTTGAATTTGTGATGCAAATTTTTATGCAATAATAAATAAAGAGATCATATAAATGAAACCTATTCCTTTGAGGTGATAATGCTTAGCATAGATTATTCGTCGTCTGAATCAGCCTGGTTTTGCTTATCAGTATATGGCAAACTCTTGAAGTAATCATGATATGATGCAGTGATTGCACCTTTGCTGCAAAGATACTGTAGATGATCATATTTATTTACTGCTATTTTTCAGTATAACAAAGTCGTAGATCTATGTCTTCTATTTTGTATTCAATTTTTTTTCTTCCTTTCTGTGTCAAACATATCTTTTTGTATGTCTGATCATCGTAGTTCAGTTTAAACAACAGTACATTTGGAAAATCTGGATTTGTTTCGATAACTCTCATCTTATTAAAAAATACCTTTTTATTTTCTTCATCTTTTCCCCAATTTATGCACGTCTTTCGCTCAAGATCTATCAGGTCGAATATCATTTCTTGACTAAGCTCAATGACATTGTATGGCTGGATCCTTTTAGCTATTCTAACAGCAGTAAACCATTGGTCTGGAGTGTAAATTGGTATATATATCTCTTGAATCACGCTCTATAACACTATGTACAGAGTCACCTTCTCTCTGTGTATGTCCTTTCTCTAGATATGTGTGTTTTATTGTAATTTTATATTTTTGAGACAAGTGAATGAATACAAATATTTGTTGCGGTTTTGACCACTACAATTGTCTGAATAGAAGTAAAATACATTGGTTCCTTTTTTGATCTGCTCAGTTATGTATTGAATTAGACAGCTACCAATTTCTGATGCTCCTCTCTTTCCGATAACCTCATGCCACATGTAGCAGTTACAGTTTTTACTAGCAAGGTCAAATACTGTAAAGTTATATACTGACAACTTAAGTTTGTAATATGCAACCCTCACTGAGGACTTTGGTACTGGTTGTACTTGCTGTAAATCAAATGCTGCTGAACAGTACACTCCTGGGTTATCGATAGCTATTTGTTTGTCTGCATTTTTTAGGTCCCTAGCAGTATTCTTGTTTTTGATATGTAAGTTGTCATCGACTAGAGCTGCTTTGTCTGCGGCGAGTGAGGTGTCATATTTGTAGCAAATCTCACAGAGGTCTTTTTTGGGCTTGAAGAAAGATATATTGAATTCGGAAGTAAATATATGCCTATATATTGCCTCAGTGGCCAGCTCCGTTATATTATTATCCTGACAATACTCAATCAATAAAGAATACAGTTTGCGCACATTAAGTGTTGGAGCCAAATACTGTCGTGTGGTATTCTTTCTACAATAATGACTTTCGATTGTTTCGAAAGCATCTATATGGTTTCGAACAGTTTGCTTTGTTGCTTCATCAATCATTGAGTTTTTACAGGCCTTTCCTCTTCTAACTGATGCAACTACACCTGTGGTTCCAGTCTTATTCATCACAGCTTTAACCACCTGCGCACTCGCAGAAAGTGTGTTCAGGAAGAATTGCTTACACACCTTTGTCCTGATGCCCTTGAGGGGAAGCTGATAGACTATAGTGTATTGGCGTTGCTTCAACAATTTCCTCATTCTCATTCTAGTTATTTCCTCTCCTCTTTCTAACCCTAGCCTTCTTCACGACTTCAATATGCTTTGCGATGAAGTCTCATTGTCTATTAACATCTGCTAATCCCCAATACTCTTCCAATATGCGCTTTATCTCTTCTTCATCAAACTTCTTTGTGCATTTTCTTCTGCAACGTTCGCATGATGCCTTCAAGCCCCTTGCTGCCTTTGTCTTCCCCTTCCAGTCGACATACTCCTGACCACTGTTCCTTGAAGACTTAATAACATTCCGTCTCCATGTTTCTTCACGACGAATCTTTTTTCAAACACTTTTCTGTCTTCTTTTGTCATCGCTATTACTATCGCTTTTATAATAATCTAGTCTATATAAGTGACTTTTTTGTGGTAACTCAAAGTCTGGATCTGTGATGTCGTCATCAGTTGCAAATGGATCAGTATCTGAAGATAGACAGAGATCATCGAATATGTCATGGTAATTCGATCGTGAATCATCTTGATGAAGGAGTACGTCCTTGAGTCCGACCAATGGAAGCTCTTTGAAGCATTAATCAGCAGGACCAAAGATGGATGTTTCGTAGACTGGCACAAAATCTGGAGGCTGCAAATCTACAGCACTCATCAAATGTTCAGCACAAGTTGGTTCACTGCGTTGTAAGCTTCCAGCGCTAAGAACATCTTGCAAGTTGATATCTGAAAAAACATCAGGTATTACTTTTGCTGGAATTACATAGAATATATAATTGCATCGCTTCCACTAATCATAAGGTGATAATCTCATAGATTTCAATTCAAACAGCTTTATACCTACAGCTAGAGAAATTTAAAAATTGGACAGAGATGCACTAGCGTCTAAGTCAACGCCTATTAAAAGAGCATGTAATAAGTAAAATAATAACCTGCATAGTTAACTAGGTGTGCTTCCAACTATGCAGGCCATTTTTATTACACTTGGTTCTTGGGTCTTGGTTCTTAACCTATTTATAAAACATCAGCTATCCAGATTTTTAATATTTTTCTACCTGAATATGTAACTTTATCGCAAGATTATCAGATCTGCATCAGTGCTCTCCTCATAGCAAACTTGCTACCAATATTACAATGGGTACTACTGTAAATAAGATATTTTCACCACAGTATTCATTTGAAACATTACACAACAAACAACATTTTCTTAAAGTTTTGCTGAAACATTTTATCCAAGATTAACATTATTTGTTAACCTTAAGGTCTGAGAAAGCCTGACGCTTATGACAAAACTGCTATAATCAAGTTAACCTCCTTACATCCCTTAAAATATTGAAAATATTCTTTACTTACCGTTCGTCAATGTTTTGTCCAAAAGTCCTAATATTTTGCGGCCTCTTGAACCCATTTTGAGTCGGATACAAATCGGCCTACATAGGTAATTTCAATTTGTTGATGATGTGATGCCTGAACACAATCATTCGCGGAACATAACCTGTACCAAAGACATCCGTACTCGTCGACTGACCAGCGTGAGCTAGTCTGTGCCTGCGCATTAAATTCTCATCAGGGTTGATTTTGCCCTCAGAATCGATGCAGAACTATGTCCTATTCACAGTATTGTATGTTTTGTAAAGTCACGTCAGAACTATTCTATGTCCAGAACTATTAAAAAAAAAAACAGAAAATGTGTAAGCATATGTCACTTAAATAACTGGACTTAGGATCACTCGAAAAAGAGAATAGTTCTGCATGAAACTAATTTATCGAGCAAAACATAGGTTTATTCGTAATTAATATAAAAACACCCATATTAGAGCTCTATCGACTTAGATTACTTCTGCACTGATTGCGCGAAATCACAAAATGACCAAAAATGGACTAGTTCTGCATTTAAGCGACGAATTGTGTTGATGATAATTCCTTAGGATTCGTGTCTCAAATACACTTACTTGAGATTCAAAGCTAGAAATTAGTTGCGTAACCACTTTTTCTTATCCATTCTGGAAATTACATATGCGAATTTGCTGAATTACAAAAATGAGAGAGATAAGAAATAATTATATTCACTGTACACTGTCGAACTAAAAGTCATATACATGCCAACAGTAATTACACACAGCGCTGGCGCGGTGGCGATTTCCCGTAATTCTCCTCATAGTTTTTGAAAACACAAAAAAATACGTAAAAAATGTAATTTATAACTTTAAACATAACCTGTCTTTAGAAAGGGCAACATATAAATAATCCGTCGGGCACAGCTAATAGATATACTCCATTGGCGCATATTCAGTAATGATTTTCTCACACAGCAAATATCACTGATTTTATACACATGCAGACCAATACACACAATCATCCATAGGCCATCTTGCTATTCAACCAACTTTCTTCTCAGATATGAAAACTATAGACTACTCGGCTTCACGAAACATATGCAACCAACAATGCGTGTAGTTGAGCTATTCCTCCATAAATGGAGGCTCACAACGATCCTAGTGAGCAAACGTGGAATGAATGTTTGCACCCTAAAAACTACCTAGTCTGCAAGATGAAATTTTATAGTTTTTTTTTTTGACGTTAGGTTTTTTACATCATACCCATGCGGTTTAGTGTTACTTGACAGGATACCTAAACGCAGATTCATACTCAGCCGTGACGTGACAGCGCTGTGACCGGCACCGCCCGGTGAAGCTAAAAAGATTCTTCCTGGAATTTGGATGAACTGATTCGCACTAGACCGGCACGTGGAAATGGCCGTGTTCTCGGTACGCTCGAGGACGCCGTACCGTGATCATCGCAATGTTTTGGAACGATATTTTTCGATTTTCACGGCCTTGTTTTTATGTAATTTTGTGAATATTTTGATATGTTTGGTCCAAAACATGAATGATGAAAAACTAGTTGAATGTGTGCGCGTTGTACAACCAGTCAAATTCAAAATAAATCGACTTCCGTTTTCTTCTCGTTTCTTATTCTTCATCCAGAATTAATGCAATAATTGCAAGTTCATCCTCTGAAAATTTTACCATTCCGACCTCACGTGGACACAACTGCACTGTCAGAGCACGGAGAAAAATACTGGCCTGTGTGACTTGAAAACTCTGTGAGCTCACGTCAGCGAGAATCACTGGCATTTTACGGCACTGTCACGTCACGGCTGAGTGTGAACAGACCTTTAATGAGTGGTGTTACCGGTACGATTTGTGTGATTTGTCAAATCGGTGAATGGTAGTCAAGGTACAGGTCGAATCTATTAATTAGGCCAGTGTTGCCATCTATACTATCTGTGATAACCGGCCGTTTAATACCGGTGGTAGCATATCATTTGAAGGACCATTTTACATTCACTACTATTAATTCAATATATTTGTATAATATAAAATGAACGATTTTATAATAAAAAATAAAACTGGTTGCAAAGGTATAAAGCACATCTGACAATCCGTAGGCGTACTGCGGCTCGCCTACCGTCGCGTCGTCTGGATGACTCGTAGGTCGCGACGGGCGTTTCGACGCCGGCGGACGTCATCCGACGCAGCGCGACAACCCCGTTCGCCGATTTTTGGACGCTGCACGCAAATGTTCGCCGCCGCGCCAATTAGGCCCGAAAACGATCACGTGACACACGAAACGTCATGCCAAATGTCACTTTGCAGTGTTTAAAAATCAGTTGAATACCGATTTGAGGGTACAGTCCTCGCTTTTTATACGAGGTTGTAAGTACGAGTTGAGTAAACGTCATGGTGCTTCAGTTATCAATGTTTGGCTCTCATGTAATGTCACATCTGCTTCAGAGATGGCATTATAGGAGGTCTAAGCAAGTTGTATATTATAGTGAGGATTTGTGTGCTTAAAAATCTGTGTTGATCATAATTCCATTAGTTTCTTGTCTCAAATACACTTGAGATGTATTCAAAGCTAGAAATCAGTTGCTCATCCACTTTTTCTTATTCAACCTGGAAATTACATATGCAAATTTGTTGAATTTCAAAAATTAGAAAGATACACGAAAATCCCTGATTGCTGAAACAACAGATGAGAAAACATGCTACACACAGGAATGTCTATGAAACGTAAAATAGTTATCACAAACCTCTTTTCAGAAAGGACAACTTATAAATAACCCGTCACACAGCTAATAGATATACTCCATTTGCAGCATATTCAGTAATAATTTTCTCACATAGCAAATATTACTGATTTATACACATGCTGAACAATACACATAATCATCCAGATACGATCTTGCTACTCAAGCTACTGTCTTTCTGTCACATCTTCTTAGAGATAAACACTACACACTACTACTCGGCTTTCTGCAACCAACAATGCATGACGTGTCGTTGAGGCATTCCTCCATAGATGGACGCGTTTGACGGCGGTCACAGCGACCATAGCCAGCAAACGAGGAATGAACTATTTGCACACTAAACACTATGTCAAGTTGACAGTTTGTCGTTTTTTTTTACATTTTCTAGGTTTTTTTATATAATAACTCCTGCCGGCCTGCACCCATATTACGTAACTTAAAAAGCGACATATCAATTTTTTTCCTGACACGTAGGTTTTTGTACATTAAATAGGTTTTCTTATGCTCACTTGTAGAAGACGCGGAGTGAACTAGCGGCTACCTATTTGACATCTTACCGATTTTTTTGAAATTATGCTCTGAAGTGGTTTCCCGGTTGTGCTTGTTGTCCGGAGTGAGCAAACGCGGCACCCATCGCGCAGACAACTTTCTCAAGCCCTATATTTCATGCAGGATATGACCCACGCGGTCTTTTAAGAAGCATACTGTCTCAGCTATCTCGCGCACCTTCAATCAGCGGTCTGCTAACCCCACGTGCGACCACGTCGAAACCAATTTTTGACCGTCGCCATCGAAGAACACACACACACAGTATCCAAGGGCTCTTTGATTTCGATGTGCGATTTTTCCTCCAAAAACAATAATCGCGTCCCATGAAAGCAGAACTATACCGTGTCAAAAACAGCTACTGCACCCTTCCCCAGATGAAAACAATTCTGCCCAACAGCGATAGAAGCGTAAGGACATAGACTAAATTTTTAATCGGTCGTTTTCGGTATTCTTCGTCAGCGTAGACATGAGATACTTCTGCAGCGCGCGAGACGACCTTCAATACGGCAAATAGAATCTAAAAAGCTAGATTTGTAAATTTGTAACATAGAACAGTTCTGATCTTTATTCGTTTTCCTAAAATCAGCGGAAACGCCCGCTTCCACATGCAGTCAAAACAAAACTATATGAAATTTTGACAGTAGCCGTCTACGAGAATTTCGCCACCGAGCGGTGATGCTGAGTACTTATCGGACCGTCCCCGTATATGTTGCTATGGAACCTTGAGAGAGGCAGACATACTAAGGGGGTGGTCAAGGAGAATTTTTATCCCAGTGCGTGGCGATCCGAGACAATCCAAGGAGATCCGAGTAAATTTTCTATACCTGTGGAGGCAACCCGAGTGTAGTTTTTGTCGCGATTATAGCCCAAGATTGCCGATTTGAATGATTTTTCAGTAGATATTACAAATTTCAATGGTAGAGATACAAAAAGATCCGGGAAAACCTTAAGTATTCAAATATTTATGAATTGTCTTTAGAGAGGTTCAAAGAAATCTGATCTGAATCAGAAAGTGTAAAATAAAATCCATTCGACATTTGTGTGCGACTATAGCTTCAACATTTTGGTTGAAGCCATTTATAATTTTAATTTGACCAATTTGTCAGTATGAAGATATTATTAGTATGTGTTTTGATGTCTCCATTTCAGTAGTTTCTTACACGCGATGCGAAGAGATGGGAAATCAGACCTCGTTCCCACGGCAATCGCGATGAGACCCGAGTCTCGTGTGTGTGAGAATACTATTTTGTCTTTTCGAAATTTCAAAGATACCAGCAAAATCGAAGAGAATATTTAACGAGTTTGAAAGAAGTATGTCCATCGGAAGTGACAATTACTATAGTGGGCAAAAGAGGATGCTAGGTTACGTTGACGTTGATCGAGTCGAAATTGAAGAAAAATATTCATAGATTACAATTAGAAAACTCAAATCAACGTCTTGCCTCACAATGAAAATGAGAATACTGGCACTAATTTCCATTTTGTTAAGAGTTTGACAGTTATTCATATGGAAGGAAAATGGAAATGACACTGGTTTCAACTGAAAACGTGTATGTTCCTACATAGTATTTACGCGATTATATATATATATAGACAGGGAAAAGACAAGTTGTCAGATTTTTGCTACTTAAAAATTTTGAGAATTTGATGAGAGAAAAAGCGAATATAAGATGGAATGCAAGTCCGAGGAGTCACTAGGCGACCCCTCCATCAATGCGTCTGCCGCTGACCAGCAGATCAAATCAAGAGACTGACGAATTGCGACAATCTCAATGCCCAGATTTTTAGCTTTAGTAATTCTTTAAATCAATTCATGTCCTGAGATGACAGCTCTATCAAGACTCGCAAAAGAAGGAACAACAGCCGTACCTCACTTACACAGATAGATGACGACATACAGGGTAGTGATTTTACCGCTATCCAGAGACGTAAAAAATTACAGATTCGTAAAATTAACGAATATCCTTCCCTTCCAACTAAGAAATCCTCAATCAAAATCAATTCAATGTACATAACACCGCCTGTGTCTGTTTCTTCCGCTGATTCTGCAAGCCACCCAAAGCGCTTTCAAATGCAAGCACCTAGCTTAAACGAAAGCCGCAACTCTATTTCAGTCTAGATACTGCTTACTTGGATGGCAGCAACACTACCTTTCGTCATCTAACGCTACCCTCGGCACGCAGGCACAATCGCTCCGTCAGGGGATGTTACATATGTTGTGCCCCGGGATGCGGCAAAGTGGCCCAATGACAATTATTCTTTTATCAGTTTTAGTATTAAGATTGATCGTGCAGTAGCTGTTGATGCTGGGATACGTATCGTACCTAAAAGCGAAGACGATTGTCGGAAGATAATTCGTCTTTTCGAAGAGGAAAATGTTCCTCACCATACATTTCCTTCCACTGCTCCTCTGAGCGTAACATCCACGCTGTTATCCGAGGAATCCCAGCATCAACTGTTGAGCAGGAAATCAAAGAGGAGCTCGAATAGAATGGATATACCTGTACATACCTACTCCCCTCCATATAATTCGCTTGAAGCGCAACTGTGATGTGCCCATGCCTTTGGTGGTGGTGATCCTGCCTAAAACAGAGAAGTCGCAGCAAGTGTTCAACGAACATGAACTGCTGGGGCTCTCTATCAGAGCTGAGGTTCAAAAGAACTCTCGACTCATTGAGCAGTGTTACCGCTGTCAGAAGTATGGACATGCGCAATCGTTTTGCACTGCACCTCCAAAGTGTCTCAAATGTGCTCAAGATCACATAACACATCTGTGCCCTCAAACAGGACAAGAGGCGCAAAAATGTGCGAACTGTGAAGGGGACCATCCGGCCAACAGTTCTACCTATAGATTCACTCCTAGGAGAAATCTATAGGTCATCGCACAAAGGCGAGTAAAATCATACGCAGGCGCAGCAAAGGTTTGACATTTTAGCTGCCCCTGCTGCCCCGAGTTCACCTTCGACTGCTCAAAACGTGGACCTGGCAATAGCGCTCAGATCCTTGCAGCAGATAACTAGTTTCCTGATAAGCGCCACACAGGCGTTGCAGTCGACCTTTCCGATGAATGACTAGGTACAATAGTACACAGCCTGCATTCATCAAAATTCTTTTCTAAAGATGTTCCCAAAAAACGGCAATTTCATCAAGTACTTTTGGATGAGATTATAGATGTGGCTCTCTATAAGGGCTGCTTGTAATTTCTACCGCCTTCTGAATACCTCTACTTTTTTTTATTTGGCTCAACCTTCTTTGGTTTCGGCAAAGGAGCGACTTCATCCAAACTAGCGGCAGACAGAGATTTTGATGTGCTTAGTAACGACTGATCTAACGCTATTTCTGTATTATCTGCTACAGATGTAGAGCAGGCACTTGGTACAACCTGTTGAATTTTTAGTATGGATAGAGGGATGTCGTCATCATCACTACTTTCCTGATTTCCAAGTCTAGAAGCTTCGTCGGATTTACACTAGGTCTAAGCACTTCAGATGCTACGAAATGAGAGTCATTGAACACATGCCTATTAACAGGCCAAACACCAGATGATCTAAACGCATTTATTGCAGTCTCAATGGTCGCTGCTTTTCCATATGCTGCATTCAAGAGCTCCGCAGCTATTGTTGTGTTGACGCCCCGCTCCCCACTAGCGATTGATCCGACAGCTTTTGAACCTCTCTTTGCCACAATTTTCTGACATTTCTTAGCTACAGTCGAGAAATCATACTCGTCCACATTAAAGATGGTGGTAGCATTGATTTTGTATTTATCACATATTCCTGCCAGTAAATCAAAAAAATGCATAACATTTTCTCTGTTAAATCCTTTTAACCTATTAATTGAAGTAGACTCAGGCTGACGCAGCGATAATTGTGGGGTGCCTCTTCATAAAACGGTAGTACCATTTATTTCCTGCTATTTTGACCTCTCTATTGAACTGGTGAGGAAGCCCACCTGATATCACGTATTGTTAATCCGAACAAGCAGTTTGCAAACTGTGTTATGCGCTCACAAAGTAGCTCTTCGATTTCACTATCAAATGTAGAATTTCTTCCCAATGCTCTCTTTGAACCTTTGGCTATTTTATTTGTATTTCTTACATGACGAAGTAGTGTAGATTTGGAAATATCTACCATAATCTCGGCTACATTGGTTTAGTCCTTTTTCACCATTATTGTATGCTGTTAAAGCTTTTTCCATACTATCTGCTGACATGTTCCATAATTTCCATGTTTTGCCATCTAAAAATAAATAATAAGTAAGTATTTTACGCAAATACCAGAAATCTATCCACTACAGCTATCTAAAAGACAATAAGCAATTTGGAGGACGTATGGTTGCCCAAATTGAACCCCAGTTCAATTTTGGACACTGTTAATGGTTCAATATTGGCAACCAGCATAACATTTAAAACATAACCTCAAATTAAAAAATTAAAATGGTTGGAAAATATGTCAATTACTCTAAAAGATAACTTAATTGACATGTTATTTACTATTATCAAAGTTGCTCTCACCTTGCTTGGAAGTTTTCAGTTACCTTAGGGAAGGGTACCAGAAATTAGTTTCGAGTGACAGTTAAATATGTTAGCACAGCACTGCCACCTGTTCCCATAAAATCAAGGATCTTTCTCGCGGAATAATCTTGTCTATGGATGGTGATTTAATATGGGATTCTTAGATGACGCTAGCTTTATACAAATTAGAAAAATCGCATGGGTTCAATTTAGGAGCAGGTTCAATATGGGCAACCTTACTACATAATTCGTTATAGCGTAAATTAATTGAAAAAAACTGGAACTATGAAGGACAAAAATATATAGATAAAGCAAAACAATTATACAAAAAAGAAGCAAAGTTCATTGAATTTTGTAGCATAACCATTATTATCAATCACCGCCTGGCATCGTCTCGGCATAGATTGTAGAAGTTTCTTGATATAAGATTCATCAATCTGTCTCAACTTTTGCTCTAAAGCGGCAAAAAGTTCATCGTTGTTTGAATAATTTTTATCTCGTATTTGCTTATCTAAGTATTCCCATAGATTTTCAATTGGGGTTTATATCGGGAGACTGTGAAGGCCATTTGAGAACTGGTATTTTTTTATCCAGAAAGAATTTCTTTGCGAGATTTGAAGTGTACTTCGGGTCATTATCTTACTGGAAGATTGATCTTAGGGGCCTATTGTCTTCCATATAGGGTAACATGACATGCTTTAGCATGTCTGTGTATACAAACTTATCCACAATGCTATCTATTCTATGTAAAGGTCCCATCCCAAACCCCGAAAAGCACCCCCATACCATAACAGACCCGCCTCCATGTTTGACAGTGGGAAAAGTGTACTTGGGGTTCAATCTTTGTCCACTAGGACGTCTAACGTAATGAACACCATCTGATCCAAACATATTGAACTTGGATTCATCACTGAAACATACCCTCTTCCAGTCCCAGATGCTCCAATCAAGATGCAACCGTGCAAATTGTAATCGGTCCTTACGGTTTTTCCTCGAGATTAGCGGCTTCTTACTCGGGCGACGTGCAAATAACTTCAAATCATTTAATCTTCTACTTATAGTTTTCGTAGAAACATTGGCAATTCCTGTTGTCTCGATTTCAGCTTTTATTTGTCTTGGGGTTTTAAACGGATCATTGTACGAAATTACTTTAATTAATCTAACTGATCTAGCATTTAGTTTTCTAGGCCGACCACTTCTCTTAGAGGCTTCCAAGATACCTTTTTGTTTATATTTGTTCAATATTGCCCAAACTGCTTTACGCTTCAGCTTCAAATTTTTGGCAATGTCGACTTGACGTCGACCATCTTTGTATAACTCAATGATCTTAGTTTTCACATCGAAAGAAATTTCTGGACCACGCGGCATGGTCTAAAATCACTCAACTTATTCCACAATACTTGATGAACACAAACTAATCCTCTTCTGATACGAAACTGTACTCAACTGTACTGTTGAAAAGAATTTGTCTACATATTTTTGTCCCTCATAAAAAAGTACTTATATTCAGACTGGTATTGTGTTCATTGCAGGTAATGTAAAAACAAGGAATTTAGTTTTTCTGCTAATAACGCATTTGTTTATGGAGGAATGAAGTATGAATTCATTTTCTAAAGGTATTTAGGTAAATATTCATATTTGTCTATATACTTTTGTCCATTATTGTATGTACATGCTAACAGAAATTACACAAAACGCGGGCGCGGTGATGATTTCCCGTAATTCTTCTCAGTTTTTCGGAATTTATAACTTTGAACATAAGCTCTCTTCAGAAAGCACAACATATAAATAACCCGTCATATTCGGCATATTCAGTAATGATTTTCTCACTTAGCAAATATCACTGATTTTATACGCATGCAGACCAATACACATAATCATCCAGATGCGATCTTGCTATTCAACCAACTTTCTTCTCAGAGATAAAAACTTCAGACCCGGATCACTCAGCCTCACAAAGCTATGCAACCAATAATACGTAGTTTATTTAGTTGAGTGATTCCTCCATAGATGGACGTTCACAACGATCCTAGTGAGCAAACGTGGATTGACTGTTTGCGCCTTAAAAACTACCTAGTCTGCAAGTTGACATCTTATAGTTTTTTTTTTGACGTTTTATAGGTTTTTTACATGATACCCGTGCGGGGTTGCGAAAGGGCATGTACCTCAACGTTGAGCTTTTGCTTGGACAGTTGTGGGGTATTTTAATTTATTTCATTCCACTTCTTGATTCTTTGACTGCTCAATCCCAATCCAAAGGTTTGTTAACAGAATTGTATACCTAATAACAGCAATTAAAAATGCAAAAGATTGGAGACAAACAAAATTTTTTTGATACTGAAAAGGGCCAAGCGAAACCTTGATCTATATCTACTTTAATTTTAAATCAGAAGTTCTTAGGAAAAAGAAACCATAAATATCAAATTAATTACACTACTTCCAAACCTTTTTACTGAATAAATATAGTGACAATGATATAATAGCAATAAATTCCAAATCATGTTCAACTACTTGCTTTTAGCCAAGAATCTACTTGGATCACAACAACTATTTAGAACAACTGAGTATAATTCAAGCAAGGTGTTCCGTTGTTTTCGATATCAGGTATTCTCCCATTGTTGCTATTTTATGAAATACTATTTTTCCTATTTTTCACCTTCCTAAATCACGAATTAGGCAGAATTGCGGTATCGTTAATAAATGTTAATTTTCGTTTTTTTTCTTTTTTAAATTATCCAAGTTTCTCAACAGTAACTGAGCGATTCGCATCGCAATATGCAGAATTTCTGTCATGCTGTAGGTGAGTACACACAGCCCAACTGTCCTCTTGAATATCCGCTTCAGAGAAACAATGTAACGCGACGTTTTGGTTTGTCACTTTGGTAGACAATGGTAGGCAAATTAGCCGAAAGTATGCACAAACAAGGCAATGTAAACATATAGGCTTGGCTCCTTCTAATCTGTTATTTTGCCGGATGCCAGTGCCAATTTTATACTAATACAGCTACGTAGACAGAAAACCTAAATACCGCAGCTGCTATATGGGGCTTAGAGATACCGTGTTACTTCAATTTTTGAACTCCTTAAGGTTAGTATAACTGCGTCAACCCTCCTCGGGCAGGTTGTTTTAAAACCTTGACAAACTAAGAACGGGTGGTCGTACCACTTAATTCTGAATGTACAAAGTTATAAAGAGTCAGTCTTGAAGGCTCAACGTGCTGCGACATGACGGCGAAAATTGAGGAACAAAATCCGTTAGCATAGCGGAAGAAGAAAGCCACCGACCGCCGTTGGTGTGAAAGGTTCGGAGACCGTCCGTTAGAGAAGTGCAATCGATTAGCCGGATCTGCTTAATTTCTTTGAATAAAAACTTATTTAAACCTGCCTAAGTCGCCAAGCCTGGTCCACTGCGAATAAAGCATGAAGTAGTTTTCCAACAAGGCAACTTGGCAACAGGTTATTTTATAAGCGTTATCGTAGATGTTCGCTCTGGTCTGGTGCACTCGACACAATTACGTCACGCATTCCGCGCGACTCCTCCGGTAGGTTTTTAAATCTCCTACTGCAGGATTTAAATGGCCGCTCGCTCAGTCCCTTGGCACCATCTTGGTTACTGCTTGTGCCGTGGTGCCGTAACTAACGTCGTCTACTCTAGACACAATAATTATAATGCGTTCTTCGCAAGTAACATGGTTTGAAGGATTTCTTGGAAAAAAATTAATTACATGTGCATAGTCTGGTGTTGCTGTATAGTTAGTTATATTCCTGCGGTTGCAGACGAGTTGATAAAAATATGTACTAGTAGAATGAAACCGTTAAGCTTCAAAGGTTTCTAAAAATATGAGGGACATTACGTTTGGTTGCTTGCACGTTAAGGGACTTGTCGGTTTTGGTTGCAAGTATGAAGAAAGTACAGGCAACAACTTTATTTTGCTATTGGCGCAGCGACTGAGCACTGCCAGCTAAGAAATCCCTTCCATAATGAGGGTGGTTAAAGCCTATGAAGATGCATTTCTATACAGGGTTGGCAAACAGGAAAATGAGACTGTTATGCATAATTTTGCAGGAGCGTCAATAGTCAAGCGCCTAGTCTGCAATGTGCTATTTAAATAAGAGGTACGTTGCATTTTCTAGCTTGTAGCCTGGCGTCCCAGGATCCCATGCACCACGAATGTATGTTTACCGATGCAAGTTTGGCAGTCTATATATAACCACTTTAGAAATTCGAATATAGTGCGTTTGGTACCTGGACGGTAATCCAAAATTCTACTTACTGCCGGTTAACAAAATATTTCGCATGTAACCATTTTCATGATTTATGGCAAAAATAAATGGATCACCTAGATGTATGACAATAATTAGAAATAACCAATGTGCAATCTAAATAAAAAGCTCAAATAGCACAGCTATATCTACAGACGTTTTAAAAACGTCATTTAGAGATATTATAGACGTCGTCAAGACGTTTTGTAAACGCTGTACGACATCTTAAAGATGTCGTTTGTCACAAAAACAGTGGGTCTTAAAGACGTCTGTATAATACGTTCATAAGGTCTTTAGTGCGGCATTAAAAATACATACCAAAAACAGACGAATGTTAAAATTTTTTACAAAAAATTATTTTTTATATTATGAAACTTTTTCTGGGTGGCTGTCTGGCCTCATGGTGCCTCTGTCATATGCCAGGACTTTAAGCAACACTGAAATAAATAAGTAGGTACAGACAGTTCCATAAACTTTTTAATATTATATCCCAAATGTACGTCGCAAAATTTACATTCTTAAAAGACGCCGGTGGCATCTTGTTCGAATTAGCCGACATTCGCCCTGTTAAGACACAGCACTTTTTTCTTATGTTAACAAATGAACGGAGAGAACACGACTGCCAATTTACTTCTTTTTTCCATGGCAAACAAGTGTAGGCAAGAATTTTCCCTCATATGCTAGGCCCTATACCTTAAAAGGCACTGACACCAATGACAAATGGCATTGACAGATGCCCGAGCTAGAGATGTTGCAGAGGTAAGTATAAAGATGTGCCCGCTTTAATCGACGCATCGTCATCTGGTGGCGAATTGATGAGTTAAAACAGGTTGATGCAATAAATTTTGAAGTTTAAAAGATTCCAGTAAAAGACAATTGGTGTTTATCGAAAAATAAAGATATCTGAAATATTCAACTACTTGTCCTTTCGCATAGTTTAAAATAATGAAATTACCTTTATAAGAAGCTGAATTCTAAACATTTTAACCACGTCTTCTAAAAGACCTGAGAAATCGTCTTAAAGATGTTTGTCTTGTATTGTGACAGGAGGTTCTTTAAAACGTCGCACTAAGGGCATCTTAAAGACGTCTTTTCAATGTACCAGGCGTTCAGACATTATTAGTATATAAAATGGACGTATTTAAGACGTTCTGTGCTATCTGGGGAGGATGGACTGTATCGCACCGAAAATTACTGAGCTCGTTAGTAGTGGCGTCTGAAGATATATTGCAGCCAAGTATTTTGTGCATCTACTATTCTGTACTCATTCATCATCCTATGAAATATGCATCTAATTCGGACGGTCCATTTTTAAGATTTTTGACTTTGATGTTTGAGGAATATAATACTGTCCTACACAAAACTTCGAACCAATGTAACTTATAGACATATTTGTCTCCATTTTCGAATGGTTACAGTTTCATGTATAGCCAGTGGTTTTTAAATTCGTTTCAATTCATTTGAAGTGCCTGTCAGAAATATTCAGTATAGCTAAAAATATTAGCACTGAGTGGGACATTGAAAGTCACTGGAGCTTAGGGCAATGTTTCCATCAAATACATTGTTTCCCATACTACATTGTAAACAGGATAACTGCTTGAACTTTGATAACATCTCTTAAATATAAAACGATATACGGGCTCGGCCTCATTTCCAGTACTATAAAACCTCAAACTTCAACATCCAATGTCGAATGTCTGTAACAACAACAACCATAAAAATAATGCCGCTCTGAGCTCGTTAACCTTTTCGAATGAGAAAGAGGAACTTTTTCCCACGTCTTGGTGTAGCGTGTGTGGCCCCCTTTTGTTCAGAGGAAGAGAAAAGAGGGGCAATAGTGGGGAAACGGGAAGAAGCGGATGACAGGCTGCACTTGCATAATTCGCTAAGAGGATTCGGTGCCTTTTAAATAATCTTAAGACCCTGACGTATAATGCTGAATAATAATTTTAATGCCATATGCAATGCCTCGTATAGCCAGTGTAGTTAGACAGCAAGGCGCTTAGTCTGTCTATAAATTAGTATCATCATGAGTTTGCCAAAATTTAATTCTGCAAAGAGAAAATTTTAAACCATTTCAAATCGAAAGAGTCATCTGCAAGTTCCCTCATGTACATACAATACAAGCAACATGTCTTGATCTATAGTACAGGTATAACTTGTTCAGAAAAGTTTGATTGGTAAAGTGATAAATCACATCTCCATTTTGTTATTAATTAAAAAAATATATGAAAAGTAACTAAACTGTGTAACATTTATTTTGTAAATGGTAAGGATCATTTAACTATATAAAATATAGTCGAAAATGATTATTAAAATAAAGAATAACTTCCAAAAACTTTGCATATACCCGAAAAGTTGCAACCGTAACTTCTTTTTGTGCTTGTCTTCTCTCATCCCATTATATTCCGAAAGGCGTCACTAGCTTTAGCCAATATTTGCTTTTAATAGTTTTTCCCATCATGTTCTTCGAGGATTTCGAAAGAATCAATCATTTAAACGAAGTAGTTACATAAAAAAACGAACCTAGGATTTCATAAAATATTAAATTAAATGAAAAAAGGCGACGAACTACTTAAAAATTATTTATAGAGATGTTAAAGTTAAAGTATAGAGTCATCTTATCTCTAATAATATGCGTATTCATAATAAATCGGTATCTTGAAGGAATTTGTTATGATGGGAAGGTACACAAAAACATTTACTCATCAATATAATAAAGTATAAACAGATATCATTGACATCATAATTAACAAGGACTCATAAGAAAAGTAAATACAGAAATAATAAGATGTTTACTAAATAGGTGTATACGAGGGTGATATCATAATTTATATCAGTAAAAAGGCCCACTTGCAAATACCTAGGAATCATGATAAAAATTGCAGCATTCCGCAAAAACTTTTTCCACTATCAAAACACAATCATGAACAAACAAGTAATATGTGACTCGAGGTGGGCGTGCTACCTATTACGGCATGCTAGAATTATACTATTTACACTTGGCGCTAGTGAACTTTAAGAAAATGCAGAGCCAATGAGACCAAGAGTACGCTTCAGGAGAGGTGTCCGGGCCAAGGCACTTTACCAATAAAGTTGAAGCCTAACATTTTGTTGAGTAGGTCAAAAACCAGAAACTTGAGCAAGAAATCAGTTTGGAGACGGGATTTTTCGATTTTCACCGATGGCGCTGTCGTACTATAACGATTTTAAAAACCTACAATAATTCTTGTCTTTGAAGCAGTAGTGGTAGTGGTATTCTTGTTTCAAAATTAACAAGATCCGTGAGATACTTTCCGAGTCATTGAAAACTCAATGGCTGTCCGGTAGACGAACACAGACAAACCAACGGAAATCAATGAATTCTTGTGATATATGCCATAACGCCGTCACTTAGGGACTTTCTCAGTTAATTTCAACGCAACATTCCTAAAACGCATCCGTTTTGTAAATATGCATGAATAGCATTCTGAATTTTTTGAGTGGAATGTAACGAGGCAAGGCAAATAAACTGCAATCTGAGCAGAAAACGTGGAGTTTCCGTTGCAACCGTCACCGGCACATTCCAATCTCATTCGATCACGCAACGTGGCAACAGGGCATCGAGTAGAGCCATTGTAGAGGACAAGAGGACTGTCGCCCATCAGCAGGAAAAGACGCTACTCGTTGGTGGACAGTGTTGCCAAATCGGCCATGTTCGATTCGCTTCTCAATCAAAGTATCTAATAAAGGTATTTTTTCATTTGGGTGCATTTGTAAGAGCAAATAAGTTACTCTATCCTAGAAATGTCACGAATATTCGGTTAGTATTCGGTATTTGGTCTATTCGGCCACTTTCTTAATATTCGGCAGTTGGACAACTATTGAACTATATATATATATATATATATATATATATATTACGCAAACATAAATGTATATTTTAATAACATTTAAATTAATACTTAAAATTTATCAGAGTTCATTTATGCTGAATGAAAACCATGTTTTTTGTCATTTATTGATATCAACTGATTCCACCCTTCCTCATAAAATATATTAGCTTCTCAGGCTCTCACTGAATAACTTCTATCAAGCTATAATGGATCATTTTTTGCGAATTTTGTCAGTTTTGGATATGTATACGTTTTCCGGCCAACGCATGAAGTGTCTGGCTCTCTGATCTAGGCAAGCCGTTTTTGAATAAAAGTGAATCTCATTTGGAATACCGCTTTCATTTTCCACATTCTCATTTTTTCCATATTTTCATTAGCGACTTCCTCAAAACAACTCCAGATTGTGAGTAGTTCAACAGTTTTGCCATTTTCATTGACATTTCTCGTGAAATGAGACAGGTCGAAACCTGTCATCCGCGAAATGTGTATTTATAATAAATGATACCAAATATTCATGGCGTACATTCGGTATTCGGCAAAGTCACTATTCGTGGCATCTCTACTTCATGCAGTTCTAGGATATTTAATAATCTGCAGAAGCACGCTACTTGTTTGGGGAATGGTACTTTTGTGTAACTCCAATTCTTTCTCCTTGGGAGATCCGCCACTGACATTGTCGGTTGGTCAATTGGAAAGTACTTTACTTCGATCTGGCAACACCGGGCAGGCCGATGTGCAGTCGAGAAAGGATCACCGGCAATGCCGACTGTTGTACCGGCACCAGCGGCGTTTGACCTTGACCGCCGGAAACGTTGGCAAATGCATCTAGCCTAGAGGTAAGCTGGAAAACAACCATACCTGGGATACCTCGTAGTATTTATGAAGGCAGAAATCTGAATGCAAGTGTTTCAGATCAGTATTTTTAATTGTTGTATAATTCCATATTTAAATTAAATTTGTGTTTTTCAGACTACATGTCAGCAGGGAACAAGCGATATTTTTTTTATTTTATTTTCAAACATATAGTAAGTATATGATAAATTCAAAACAAGTAAAAGCCCTTCAGTTTATATTTTCCCGCCAAGACGGACTGTCATTACAGAAGCCATCACTGACATTGAATCTTATAAGCCCCTGTGACAGATGCCAGAGTGCAATGTCTGAAAGATCACAACTTTTATAGTCCAGGTATCATCCGTAATAAGACAGATGGAAGTATTCTCAGCAGAGTAGTTCATAACAATATTAATATTAAAGGAGTTATTATTCACTGTTCTCACCAAAGAAACTCGAATTCAACTTTTGGATGTCATTGTGACACAGGAAAAGTTTCAGATGTTACATTGATCAAGACGATTAGGGTGCTCCTTTTAGTATGTAATATTTGTTGTATATTGTGGGTTTCTAAATAAATACTATATATATATATATATATATATATATATATATATATATATATATATATATAGGTAGAGGTGGACACAGACGATGGCCTCCAAGGTCACCCGATTTAAACCCTCTAGATTTTTTTATATGGGGGTTTTATAAGGAGATAATCTATACATCTGAATATACAAATGTCAACCAACTGCGCCAGAGAATTGATGAAGCAAAAATAAAAATAATGGAAAACGAAAATTCATTTCAAAGACTAAAAGACAATTCTATTGTTTCTTGTGTAAAGAAAATAATGGAGGCCATTCCGAACATGTTCTTTAAAAGTTAGTTAAATTAAATTATCTTCCACATTTGTTGGTAAATCGCCATAATGACGGCTAAACACAATAGGTTCTGTACTTGTAGGTGGTAAGGATTCTATTTTGCGTTTCTTACGTTTATCGCATCACAACAACGAATGTGAGTGACATGATACACTCATGGTAGCAAGCTGAAATTTTCAGGGTTTATTCTTCATGGATTAAAATAGTTTCTGCAATAAAACGAATAATGAAATATAACCTCAATTTTTTTACCGCCCTCCAAAGTTGAGTGATGGAAGAGATTTCTGACAAAAAAATGAATTTTAGATTTTTTGCATTGATTTCTAATAAGCTCTGATAAAAAATAACATAACCATTGATAGAACTAACCATTTAGCACATCTCAGAAAAAAAATCACAGTCCTAAACCTAATGGTTTAGCTGTAATTGCGATTTAAAGTTCATTATCAATTTTTATCGAAATTTCACAAAATTGCAAATATCTCCTGACTATAAAATTTCGGACCACACATATACGGGTTCATTCGATAGGTTTTGAGACCCTCTATCACCTGACTTCCGTTGATCCACTACTAACTTTACAGCCTGTATATACAGGGTGTCTGCGAAAGGTTGGGAAATCTTGAAACTGGAGATACTACAGACCAAAATAAGTGAATTGACCTAAAAAGTTCCGGTATAGGGAAGTTTTCTAGTATGAGAAACAAGAATCCGTTATTTTCGGTGTCCAAATTTCTAGAGGGCGCCACAGCACTATTTCGGTATATAACTTATCATACATTTTTTGTGCTACCCTGTATACAACAGCTGACCGAAAAATCTTATTTTCTCGTATTTCCACAACAAAAAAGGTGTACTTGTTTGTTAGAAGTTTCTAAAGCTAATAGTTTTAGAGATATTTGTTTTTAAAAGTTCCAATGCATTATTTGTACCATAATCAAACATTTTTATAACATAATAATCAAGTTGCTTTGCATATCTGAGTAGCGTTGCTATGGTTTCTAATGTGTGTCATAATATTGCTTTAAACTTCATGAATAATTTTAAGTTGACAATAAGTTGTTAAACATCATGAAGTATACGTTTGATAAATGTTCTGATATGCATTTAATGTACGAATTGGCAAGATGTAATGCTTTAAAAGCACGAAGATTGACAAATTCCCTAGTAGACACCTGCCTAATTTAAAGAATTTCCAACGAATCGATCAGCGGTTTTAGGTAGTTTTGCTCGAAATATGGGCCAACATAGTGGAGCCCCCAGAACTGTACGTACAGCTGAAGTTGAAAAAAATGTTTTAGATGATGTCTTTGAAAATCCTACAGTTGGAGTTAGGACTGTTGCTCGAGAATTTCAAGTTTCTAAATGTACAGTAAATACCATTTTTCAAGAGCAACTGCTCCATCCATACCACCTGCAAAAAGTACATGGTTTAAGCGCTGATGAACCCGCAAGGGTAGAATTTCGTACATGGCTCTTAAGGAAGTTTAACCACGACAATGATTTTACTTCGTTAATATTATTTTCAGACGAAGCAGGATTTGGAAGGGATCGGTCCATTAACTCGCATAATCTTCACATTTATGCAGACGAAAATCCTCATGCAATAATACAAACCCGCCACTAAGTAACACTTTAAATTAATTTATGGGCAGGAATAATTTGACAACATTTAATAGTACCCGTTGAGTTACCACTAAATAGCCAAAGGTAAGTTCTTGAAGAACAATTTACCCGCTCTGCTGGAAGATCTTCCTTTACAAACACGCATGAATATGTGGCTTATGCACGACGGAGCTCCACCTCTTTTTAGTATATTAGAGAGCACCTAAATAAAGTTTATCCAGACCAGTGTATAGGCCGATCAGGACCTGTATCGTGGCCGGCTAGATAACCAGATTTAAATCCTATGGATTTCTTTTTCTGGGGTGATTTAAAACGACGCGTTTACAATACGCCAGTGGAAACTGTAGATGAAATTTGACAAAGAATTTTCCACCAAAGCCATGAAATGGAAAATAACATCCAAATGCTTTGGAGAGTGCAGCAAGGATTAGTTCGTCGAGCTCGACAGTTGTTAGGCAAGGTGGTACTCATTTTGAACAATTTTTGTAGTTATATTTCCGTTTATTAGTTTTGTTGCCATCCTCATTTGTTATTGTTAAAAACCATAGCAACGCTACTCAGATATTATCCAAAGCAACTTGATTATTATGTTATAAGAATGTTTCATCATCATTGTACAAATAATTCATTGGAACTTTTAAAAACAAATATGTCGAAAACTATTAGCTTTAGACACTTCTAACAAGTAAACCTTTTTTGTTTTTGTTGTGGAAATACGAGAAAATAAGATTTTTTGGTCAGGAGAAACATAGCGGTGACAATTTCTCCTAGATGAAACTATGGTATCTGATTTATTATTAGGTTGGCTAGGTTCAGGTAGATACGTTAACTAATTGTTGAATTCAAGTTGCCATCGGGTTGCTTTTGCAGAGAACAGTGCCTTAGAAATTATATTGATTTCTATAGGATTACGTTTTATATAAGTGGGGTCTTACTATGTACGTAATGATCATGCCAATTGCATACCAAGTCTTGGCTTCTTCCGTCACAGTTCCTAAAGGAGTAAATTATATCGTATGCGAAGACTAGAAAACCTATTTGCACAACCGACCTATATACACGATATATGAAATAGGGCCACCAAATTATCAGAATATGTCCTTCCTTAGCTCATACATACCACCGCGTCGCTTGGGCTAGCAACACGGAGCAGTAGACAAAATTTGTGTAAAAATCCGATTTGTAGAGGTTTGTGCACTTCGAAACTGACGCTTCATTTTTAGTATTTCCGAATGAAATTTTTACAGTCTGTTGGAAAATCCTCCAATTAAGTCAAATGACAAATGGAGATATTCAAATAATAATTTACTACAGTTTTTACAGCCACTGTCCCACTTCTTACTCTGGACAGATCTTATCCATTACCATTCAACCAACACACAATACAGTAGTGAAGAGAGAGTTATCTAGTCCTCATTGAACAAGTGTTTACATTCTGACACAAAAAGTGGTTCACTGCCGCCTGGAGCGGTTAAATTTCTGAATGAACAGCGGAATAGCCAGAAATTCCTTTCACATCGTCCTTTCCATATACCGCACCGCTTGGCGCTGCTGTGCCGAGTGAGGTCCGTGTGAATTGGCTGCCTTGTAGTGCGAGTGGTTACACGGATTACATTAGAAACTCCGACCCCGAACAAAAGCAATGAGAAAACACCGATAGAATTGAATCATTACCTGCCAAATCAATACTTCATACCACGGTGATAAAGTGTCCATGAGATCTGCGTCAGGAAGAAACTCAGTTTTTTGTTCAGAACAAGAAGGTCTAATTTTCGAACTTCCAATATAGCTATGTAAAAAGAAAATAATCTCTTTGAATAAAAAAAAATAAGAAATATTTTGCAAACAAGAGAGGATGCAAACGAAATAATCACGAGTGGTCGGAAAGCCATGAAAATGTATTCCCAAATCTAGTTATAATGGCAAGAAATTTTTATCGACGCCTGAAACATCAGCGTTCATTGAAAGGAAATTTTCTGGGGCTGTACTGACCATTACGGAACCCCGCAACAGATTGCGTAATAAATACATTGGGACCCTCTTGAGTCTTAACTCATGATTAGGCAACGAAAAGCTTATTCAGAATTCCTCATTTTTTGGATCAGCTGATGAAGTGTTTTTTTTCTATTCGAGTCAACGGTTTTATCGTTCTTTTATTTGTTATACGATGGACAAAATATTTCGTTCAATATATGTATTATTTTCTCTGCAACTTGTCCAAAATCTTTCTGTTGTGTATCTTCTCGAATTTCCCTTGAAATTATATTAGAAAAATCATCAACTAATATCAAGATTACTTGAATTATCAGTACTTGACGTAAAAACTACTTGACTCATTGCTTGACTTCATTTCAAATTAGGTCAAGTGAAGTAGCTTGAAAATCAAGTCAAGCAGTGAATCCCTCAGCAAAACGTAACAACCGCTGAATCTCGCACCTGCTTGTTTTTGTAAAAAAAAAACTCTAAATTGGTACAACTATATCGCCAATGTGAC